GCCAATGGACGCGCCAAAAACAAGGTTCGTACAGTATCACCATGTCCTCGTATGGTGATGGCCTGATCGACTTCATCGTTTTAGGATGGCCGAACTCCGCGTCAGATAGCAGAAGCACGCAGTTATAGTAATGACGCAGCGGAGATTCTGGGCCGCCAAGCTTCCCTGCTGGACCAGGTATCCAGTCGATCAAAATAGCATCTTTCTGTCGATACTATCTCTATAGCGCTTTGACGCTGTGTAAGAAGAGCATTCCTGTCGCCATGCGCATTCTCGAAGACAGCTTAATCCACGTCAACCTCCGCGACAGTGTACGCATCGCCGTCACAATGATTTGCTATGAACGGACATGTGTAGTCTGGGACGCCTTTGCAGCACCTGGTCGTGGCAACGCAGGATGCGTCGCTGCTTCAAATGCTGCTGAAAAAACCTGACCTCCAACTCGACGCCAAAGACGCGGTACATACATATCGTCCTCGACCTTTTCACGTCATTTGCCTTGAAATAGACAGGTCGCACGGCTCTCGCAATCGCGCTTACCACTGGCAACACGAAGACTTCCCTTGCGCTGCTCCACGCAGGCGCGTCCGTGGAACTCGTCGACAAGGTGGGAAATTTGCATCAGTTTATTGAAAATCCAACACTACAGGGGACAGGTTCAATGTGCTTCAGCGCCCGATTTCGTCGCCGCTTTGCGCCAAGTAGCCTCCTCCAACGACACGAGCTCTGTGGTGCATCTACTGCGTCTGGGCGTGAGTTGCTCGTTGGCCAACGAGGTATGATGCATTGAGGTGCCAGGTCAACAGCATCTTCATTTCATGTAGCAAGGCGAAACGGTGTGGCATGTGGCGGCTGCAAAGGGCCACCTGTCTATCCTCATGATGCTGGTCCAACGAGAGATCAAGGGCGAGAATGGCATTGACGCGACCAACCACGTATTCTCTACTTTCAATCGAATGTGTTTCAAATTGGTGTAGAATGGGGAATCACCCGTTTTTGTTGCTGCGATCGCTGGCCACGCCGACGTTGTCCAATGTCTCCTTCGCGCCAACGCCAACCCCATCTCGTTTCCAAAGTACTGTCTTTGAATTCTTATATCCCAAAAGCACCATTGCGAGACTAGGATGGATCGACGCTGCTGCACGCGGCTGCAGTTGGCGGCAGTATGAGCATCCTTCACCAAATCGTCCAGTGTGGCGTCAGCGTCGATGCGTGCGACGCGGTAGACAATATTGTTTGTGATTAGATCCCGTC